ATCCTCTTAACCTTCCCACGCTCCTGCTGGGGGCTAAGGAAATGCTTATCTCCCCGAGTGCAGCCTTCACCAAACCATTCCATCACATCATCTGCCCAGAGTCACACTGAGTTGGGCGGCCTTATACATCTTATAAATAAATATCAGCATTCTAATTCTAATAATATTGTCTATCCATATGGTTTTCTTCATAAAATATAGGAGTGATTTATAATTGGCTTCTCCCACATAGAATGAAATTATTCCTTTGCTGTCTGCCTCCAGCATTTTCTTACATCGTTGCTGTGTGATGTAGGTGCCTGCTTTAGCTGAACCACTAGGATGACCTTCGCACCCTGAGTGTCCCTACTGGCAATATACACTCTTGGAGTACCCTCCTGGTGCTCTTATCTTATCCCTTCTGTTTTATCAGCAACTGTAGTCTTTATTTATTTTAAATGTTAGGGGGTTGTGAATCACAGTTGGCAAAGAAAAGTATGAGGGCGGCGCTCCACGTGTCTTCCTTGTGGTGACACCCATAGGCATCTAGTAGGCAATAGGGGGAATTCTTTTTTTCTCCTTTTAGTTAATTGGTTTCTCTGTTGTCAAGAGAAGTAAATATTTTTTTAAGGGATGAATGCTCAGTAAAATCAGGACCTATTAATTTTATAGGAGGAACACAGGCTTGTACAAGTGATCTGAGGCTGCCAAGCATAACAAGCTGCTTTGTTTCTCTTGTGTAGTGGAAGCCTGAAAGTAGAATGCCTGCAGATTCTAGAGAAGAAAGAAACCATGGTTGCCGCACTTCATTGCTTGCAACAAGAAGAAGTGAAGGTCCTAGGGCTGTAAGTGTTGCTCTTCAGTGCATGTGTGATCCTCTACTAGTGCGCATTATACACTAGGAATGGGTTCTGCAGAGAGACTCTTATGTCCAGGAAAACACTTGGAATTCTATATGGGGCTGTTTCAGCTATTAGGCTAAAACTGTACTTTTTAAGATTTTATGAACTTCCCTTTTTTCATCAGTGTTCCTTTTTTCATTCTGCTTGTACTACTTATTTCTCTTTTGTGTAGATGCGCTATATTTTTCTGAGAAGGTGCAAAGAGATTTCTTCTCACATTGCAGTCTGGATTTGAATTTTTAAAGATATATATATTTGTGGAAACAGGAACTATTGGCTATATGTATTCTGACAAACTCTTCCTTGATCATTTTAAAGGAAGGTTATCTTTCATTTGTTTGACTCAGTAAAGAGTGCAATGTGTTGTGTGCCCCTTTGCACAGGAAGAACTTTTGAGTAATGCTGATCTGAGAATTGCTTCAGAATTTGGCTTTCTTGTGATCTAAGGTTTTTGACTGGTAGCAAATCAAAAGCAGTACATTCTTAAAGACTGCAGACTCTACACACACTGTGGTCCTCAGGCAGGTATTTTTTCTACAGCTTCTACTTGTGTATCAAAATCATGCACATATTAACTTTGTGTTTAGTTTGTGACTTATTTTCCTGGGCAGAATATTTTTCCTCACTTTAGTTCAAGCTGGAAGAAGAACAAAGCTCCCACATCCAAAGCAGTCACTCTGAGTGTTGCTTGAATGGAAAGCAGCTGGAAGGGTGTGCAACAGAAGGTTGCAGTGCTCCAACAAAAACAAAATTCCTCGTCTAATGACGTTTAGCTTTCCATCTTTTTCTCTAGTCTGTATCCTAGAAAATTTCTCTAGCTCCTCCATTTTGCACAGTTTTGTTTTCCTTTAATGCATTTTTGTCAGTAAACATCTTCCTTTAAAAGCTGCTGCTTAGTCACTGGAACATAAATGCTCAGTCAATAACTCCTCTCCAAATTTTGGGTGTATCCCCAGAGTTTCTCCACATTTTGCCTCCAGATTTTTCAATTTGCCTGAGTGGGATAATGAAAATTAAAATTATGGGTGCGATCCTCTTAACTACATTTAATTTGATTTTCAAAATGTTTAAAGTAAAATTAAATCAACATTTGTTTTTATCCTGATCCTGCCTGTTTTTGGAGTGCAGACCCCAGGCACATCAGTTAAAGAAAGGTGCAGCCCTTTGCTCAAAAAATGTTCCACATTCCAGTAGCAGAGCATCCTTTTCAATCTGATGTGCTAGGATTCCAGCTGTCATCATGCTAATGACCTTTCTGGCTAGGAATAATGGAAGTCATAGTCTTAAAATATTGGATGACATTATACTTGAATTATATACTTGAGGCTTTTCTGGCTGGCTCTCATCTCAAAGGGATTAGGAGCCCTATCTCAATAGATTCAGTTTGTATTCTTCAAGTAGAAAAACTTATTGTGATTTTTGGCATTCTGCTGAGCTCAGCCAAGAAAGACTGATGACTTGTGATCCACATTCAGTGTGAGATTGTCTCCCTAAATAAATAAATAAATAAATAAACAAACAAACATATACATATACATATACATATTCAGAAAAGCATGCCTGCCTGCATGTATGTGTATGTGTATGAGTATGAGGGCGGCGCTCCACGTGTCTTCCTTGTGGTGACACA